TTATTTAGGTATAAGATTATAATATAAATAAGGGTCATGACTCCAACAGCTATTAAGGATGGGAATAATGCTTGTAGTACACCGTATAGTGTGCCATATGAGGAAGCTATATTAGCACCCTGAAATACGGAGTTTGTGACGACAGCGATCGTATCTATCGCATTATTTAGTGTACATGTCGCAGCTGAGAATACAGAACTTAATAGAGAAGTAAGCCCAAAAGGGCTACCCAATGCTTCCTTTGCCGTGTCAACCACACACTTTCCTACTTTAGCTGCAATGCCAGGTACATTCTGTACAACCGATTCTACGGTTGATTGAACACCTACAGCTGTAGAGTCAAAGATAACATCCACTGGCATGACATGAATGTATCCTATTGTACAACCTATTATGGCTCCTATAGCAACAATTGGTATTAATCCATAAATACCCCATTTTCGTAAAATTTGAACTCTTCTTTTTCTTCTGCTTCTACTGGGTGTCTCTGTACTGCTTGCAAGAATACATTCAAAAACAGCTTCTTGTGTCGTTGGGTATAACGGATCTTTCACGTCCACATCAATTATATTGGAGCAAGAGTGTTGTTCCAATATTTCCAACTTCTGTGGGGAAGCATTTTTCATAATAGCTTCAATCACACATTTTTTTTTTTTAATAAATAGTTTTGCTTTCTTCTTTTTGTCTAAATGTATATTTATCGTGAATTTTTTCTTCCCGGCGATTTTCTGTTCTCCGATTTTATCATCGTTACTTTTGGAATCAAGGATGTCTATGAGTTCACCTTGCTTAGTCTTCTCACACATGTGTGTGCTTATAATAGTAGTTTTCTTTTTTTTTTTACTCGTTATTATTTTATCTTTTCCTTTGTTTTCACTCATATATATTTCTACAGTCCACTTTTTCTTTCTGAAGATTTGTTCGATTTTTGCTTTATCAAATTCATCTGGCAAATCACTCTCTGGTAATTTGTTTTTTGCGGTGGTTTCCACATCAATTTTTTCCGAGGAATTGCTCTCTGGTGTTGGTTTCTGTATATCCTTCCTTATATCGACTTTCTTTATTAAAAGGTTTCTTTTTTGCAATATTTCCCTTCTATCTATAGCTGCAGTGTCATTTATGGAGTTATTATACTTCAGAGGAATTATTACTTTTTTTCTTACCGCACTCCTTGTCCGTATAAAATTTTCTTCTTTTAGTGACTTCTTTCTTAACAGGTCATTTTCTTTTGTGCGGTTATGTTTTTGCAACACATTTGTTCTTTTGTTGTTCAAATCTTTTTTTTTATTTAGAGAACCATGTTTGGGAGATGCATTGTCTCTCGTTTTTAGATTATTTTTCCTTATAGCAAATGGATCTTTATTAAACGATTCTCTCCTGGACAATACGTTCTGATTTTTGAGCGAAGTAATATTGTTCATTGGAGGGTTGTTAGGGTACCATATGTTCATACTGGCTGTACGACCAAAATGTTGTGGGCAGCAATAATGTGCGTCCGCCTCAGGAACATTGTGCACGATATTCCCCGTTTTTTGCGTTGTTACATTATTATTTGCATTAGAAATATGATATAATATATCAATCAGTAACACTCTTAAA